GTGATCTGACTCCTGAGCTTGTGAATGGACTGCTTGACTATCAGACATGGTCGCTAACGAACCGTGTTGTAATTACTGATGTGAGTCATCTAACCGAACGTGATGTTCCGCAGGCCATTCAGATCCAAGGCACAAATGCTGGTTGCCAGCATTTGTGGTTGTGAGTGAGCAGGAACTAACGATGGATCGCCTCACAGATGAAGTGATCGATTTTACTACGGCTTAGTTAGAATGTGTTTAGTAATTCCTGCCATAGGCAAAAAAAATATTTGTTGTCGCTTAATTAAGTTCGTTAAGTAGTTTAGAACATTTCTCAATTACGAATGGGTTCTTACGAAGCCAATCAATATAATTAATATCGGTGCGACCAATTTGCTTAAGCGTCTTCCCCTTGAACTTGCCCCAACTCATCATATACGAATTATCATTGCTAGGAAACTTGGAGTGAAGGAAGATTTTGATATTCTCAGTAATATTGAGACTGGGTTTGTTGTGCATGCATCGACAATACCCAGGATCAGAAGCATATACTTCTTCGATCGGTGTGCCCTTGTATTTTTTAAAAGTTAGTTCGTTCGACAGGGTATTAGTTATGTATATCTATCTATATACATAGGGTCTTAACATTTTTTAGAAAAATAAATTAACTCTGAAATTCAGACGAAACCAGGTCGAGGCTCGACTCGAGCAGTTCTGAAACTACCCTAAGATCGAAAAGACGTTGCTTTCGCTCTCAGGTGGTCGAGAGGTTACGTCACCAAAATAGCACCTGGCCCGAAAGCAGGTTCCAGGATTGTTCGTGGTGGTAAATTACGGGAAGGAAAAAAACTGCCGGCGTAATGTTCTGGATATTACTACTCTGGATGCAAAAATCGTGACCTACGTAATTGGTGCGTGATCATTTGCAACGACGACGGAGGTTGGGTCCTCGTGGTAGGCATACATTCCTGGCGCATAAAACCCAACATGTGAGCGCACTATTTGCGCTGCACGTGACAGTATACGAGGGCATTTACGTGCGCGAAGAAGGCGTGGATTTCGTAACGGCGACCAGACCTGGCTTTGAATTTATTTGCAAGGCGGAAGAATGGTTTAAACTGCCTTTGATGAGTGATCACCTCGGTGCACCTGAGCCGTAATGCCACCGGTTTTGGGAGGGTATCGTTTACATGAGAGACAAGATGCTCGCTTCAGATTGTTAACAACTCGAAAAAGGCGAAAGCACACACCGAAATGAGTGAAGCACCAAAGATGTTGGGTGAAAAGAGTGCACTTTATCCTTTCTAGCGATGTTCTCGAATTTCTCCTCACAATTTACTTTTACTAAGATGGATTTTGCCGCTCACAGTTCGACATGTAAATTGATTCATCTGTCCTAGAGTGGTTATTGGAGTCGGTCATAGATGGAGAGTGGTACTGGGTATTTGGATTTTTAAATCTTTCCACCGAGCGTTACTCCCCCCAACCCTCTCTTACAATTGCTACATCAACTCCTCTGCCTGTTTCAAACACTCATCAGTTTTTATAAGTACTTATACTTCATAGCGTATGTTCTTAGCCAGGTCCTCACGTTTATCATATTAACCATGGGTAGCTGTAAACGTAGACTACGTATCCACTAGGTAAAATTTCCAGTAATATTTATTGCCTAATCTTTACACATTAGAAGCTAAAAAGAGGGCAACACTTTGAGACCCTTGAACGCGAAAACTGCCAACATCAAAAGCGCCTGAAACACTATGAGAGATAGGAATGAACTCCGTAATGCATGAGCGCTCAGCAGATGTTACCTCGTGACTTTTATGATCTGACACGGACCCATTAAAGCAATGCATTTTATTGCTCTGAAGTGTACCGCTAGAATGCTGAAAAGCAACACGATACAAAAAGAGTGCGGCCGCCTTACATCATCAAATGCATTTGAACATTAAAAACAAACATATCTGTGTCACCGGTTGCAGCGACTGAAAAGCTTGAGAAGTGTTCATGCGAAAGTCATTGGATTGGGAGCAATCACTAATACAGACAAACCCAATTGAAGGGCACCGGCAACCATGGTTAATGCAAAAGTGTGCTTGTGCTTTGTTTGTTTTGCTGGAAGTTAGCCAGCAGAAAGGTAAATCCGAACTACTTTGCTCGACTCAAGTGACTTAACCGATTACCTCTGCAAGTGTTACAGATGATAAGCTCATATCAAATGACCCAAACGAGGCTCGAATATCCAAAAGTACTTCATGTGTGAGTTTGGTACACGTGGGCGCTGGGGAGGAAAACATATCTTTTAAGCATTGTAGCACCATTTTCGGTCTGCGTAATCGATTTCAAACCATACTTTGTTGCTAATCATATCATGGTTTCATTTTTTGATATATTTGCGATTTGTATTGCCATGTTTTTGGTATTTTTATGCAATTTCGTACCATACTTTCATACAAACTGCTAAATGACACGATAGTAGGCATCGCGAAGCGAAGCGAATCCTTCACTTCCATTAAGCTGGGATGTAGCATCGATAGTAATAACACCGTTTTGGTATTATCTTGGTTAAGATCGATAACGAAAGGCACGCGCTTGCCAGAGGAGAATTTAATCTTCGGATCACTCTTGAGGAGCTCTGGTAAAGGTATTAGTCGGAAAGTTGTGTTTCAGACATCGTTGAGATTCTATATGGCATGTCATATACTTTCTCAAAAAAAATTATTATGGATCTCGTGAAGCCTATCACATCGGATTATGATCTCATTGAACTCGCCAAGCGCATT